TGTATTCTGGCCTCCATATGCACGTACATACATGTACATGCAAATCCCCCACTCACGAACATGCACCCACACACAAAAAGAGAAAAAATAAGTAGAGTCTGGCTTTATACAAATGCTGTCAATCTTTCCTACCCTACATGTTTTAGGGCTATTGCTGATTCCTACTTGTTATTCTATCCTTCAATAATAAATTTTGTTTTCTGCCTTCCAGATGACATTAGCAGTGGTGCTTCTCAGGGTTAAGTAGATCTGGGAGGCCTGCACTAGAGCAGCAAAAAATGGGAAGGAAAGTGGCCCACAAATAGCACTGACAAGTGAGAATGCACACCTTTGCATCTCTCTTTCCCATCAAGTGAAGAGAGCTGAGAATATAGTTATCTGCAGGAGAAACTCAGGTTTTAGTGAGCCAGGGAAAGAAAGAAGGATGAAAGATTGTATTGAGAACATAGTGAATGTTGATTTTGTGTGGAGTTTAGAAATGGGGTAAAGAAAGGAGGAATTAAAAGTCTATTTTCTTGGGGTTTTTTTTTAGGGGGGGACTTTTTGAGACAGAGTCTTCCTGTAACCCCAGCTGGCCTGGAACTCCCTATGTAGACCAGACTGCTCTGCAATTTGCTGTCCTCCTGCCTCAGCCTCCCAAGAGCTGGGATTACACTACTACCCATGCATCATTTCTCCTTAATTTTCTTAGCCAGTTTCTTCTTTCCTTAAAACATAGTATAACCTCAATCTAGTCCCTTCTAATAACCAAAAATTGTGAATTAGTAAAGTTTTAGTGAACTTTTAAATTTCAATTATTTCTATATAAAAGTTGAGGGAATGGCAAAACAGATCTGTAATAGGGTAAGAACTTGGAACAATAAACAGTAGGGGGAGGAAAGAGATGATTAAAAAAACACATAGATGTGGGGGCTAGAGAGATGGCTCAGCAGTTAAGAGCACTGACTGCTGTTGTAGTAGACCTGGGTTCAGTTCCCAGTGCCCACATGGCAGCTAACAACCATTTGTAAGTGCAGCTCCAGTGGATCTGATGCCTTCTTCTGGCCTCTTTGGGCATGGATGCACTTACACACATGCAGGCAAAATACTCATATAAAATAAATAAATAAATAAATAAATAAATAAATAAATAAATAAATAAATAAATAAATACAT